GTCGTCGTCGTCCCCCTTCAAGGTCGTTGGCACCGGCCGCTAGGCCTTCGCAATTAAGCGAGAGAGAAAAGGAACCATGATGGACCCATGAACCCGGAAAGTGGTATATAATGTTGAAGACACCGGTAATCATGATGCCGTGCCACAAGTTCTGCTACACTGTGCTGCGACGCGCCGCCCTACGGTGCACTGCGATGCCACGTTGCGCCGACGCCGAACTGGGCGACGGGCACTTGCAATGCTGAAGGTATCGATGGCGATGTGCAGTGCTAGGGGCTGTACTGCGCCGTGCTATGCTGACATGGAACTTGTCATGCTGCGCTGAATTGTGCTGTGCTCTATTGCGTTGTGAATCAACTCGCCCGTGGCCTCCGAATCCTGACCGAACTGATTTGGATCTTAAGCTCGAGCTGCCTGAACGCGTGGCTCGCCCTGAGCTGGCCGCAATCGAAACGCGCGGGGGCGCTCGACCAGCTCGAGCTCAAGATCCGATTCAGTTCCGAAGCTGGGCGAAGCAACGCTCCACATGTGAAGCGTGGGACCGCTCTCACGACACCGAACTGGGCGGCGGGCACTTGCAGTGTTTTTTGTTTTTTGGGTACGGTGTTGTCAGCGCAGGATGGCAAACCCGTGGCTTGTCAAATGCGGGCGAGATCCACAAGAAGGCGCGGCCACAGACGCTAACCGTCTGGCCTGCAAACGCCATACATGGATTATCTCACCTAGCATCGATGGACAGACCCGTCTGCAATGCTGATCGCATTGGCTAGCGTGGCAGAGTCTGCGAAAGGGGAAGGCACGATCACCGTCGCAAAACATGGACACCTCACCACAAAACTTGCCAAGTCGGGCTGGACAGTTGAATCTAGGTCCTGCCCCCGAGCATCTGATGATATTGGCTGCAAAAACCAACGTATGCGATCGGTGCCTCTAATTCGCCAACCGCGGCGGCGCGCTCCAGGGGTGGCATGCGGCCGGGAAAACGTGTGGATAACCCTGCCCTCTCGAAACACACAGAACGTTGACCCCCTGACGTGCTTATATAATGCTTGAAAACTAAGCTCCTCCTGGGGGCTCTTGGGACCGAAAGTTCGGAAATCGAAAGTGGCTGTCTTCTTCTGGGACCCCTCTCGGGCGCTTCTTGGGCTTCTCTTGGGCCGTCTTGGGGGCCGATTGGGCCGTCCTGCGTTCCTCGTAGGCCGTCTTGGAGATTTCTTGGGGGCCTCCTAGGCCGTTTTGGGGGGCCTCTTGGGCCGTCTTGGACGCGGTAACAGCCCAAGAGGCGAGCATGCGAAAAATATACGTTTCCCCATAGGAATGGAAGGATTGTGGTTTCTTGGGGCTCTCTTGTGGTGCCTCTTGGAGCATCTTGGGGTGCTTTGGGGGGCATGCTTGGGGCCTCTTGGGGGCGTATCGGCGCCTCCTGGGATCTCTTGGGGCCGAAAGCTCGGAATTCGAGAGTGGCTTTCTTTCTCTGGGACTCCTCTCGGGCGCGTCTTGGGGCTCTTTTGGGCCGTCTTGGGGGCCCATTGAGCCGTCCTGGGCTTCTCGTGGCCCGTCTTGGAGCTCTTTTGGGGGCCTCCTAGGCCGTCTTGGGAACCCCTTGGGCCGTCTTGGACGCGATGACAGCCCAACAAGCGAACATACGAAAAGTAGACGTTTTCCAACAGGAATGGGACGATTTTTGCTTCTTGGAGCTCTCTTGGGGTGCTTCTTGGAGCGTCTTGGGGTGCTTTTGGGAGCCTTCCGGGCGCTTCTTGGGGGCTTCTCGGCGCCTCCTGGAGCCACTTGGGGTCGAAAGCTTGGAATTCGATGGTGGCTTTCCTCCTCTGGGGTCCTCTCGGGCCCGTCTTGGGGACTCTCTTGGGCCGTCTTGGGCCCTTCGTGGGCCGTCCTGGGCCGTATTGGGGCGGTCTTGGGAGCTTCTGAGGTCGTCAAGCACGGACCGACAGCGAAAACAAGCAATATGTTAAACATATACGTTTTACGAAAGGGAATGGGGCTATTTTGGCCCCTTGGGGCTCTCTTTGGGGCCCTTTTGGGGGTCGCTTGGGGTGTCTTGGGGGCTTCTGAAGCCTCCTTGGAGGCCATGTTGGGCGTCTGGGAGCGACCTGCGGGCGTCCCGGGTCTGTTCTGGAGCCTCTTGGGGCCTCCTTGGCGCCTTCTGGCGGCCTTCTGTGAGGCCCCGGGGCTCCCCGAGGGCCCCGAAGCCCATATTTGCGGTAGCGGCGCCGGCCCCGGGCGCCCGGACCCGGTGCGCCGTTATATGTATATATGCAAATCTGTAAACATGTGAAACGTAAAAGTTCGATACATGATGTGTACTGTGTGGCTCCCTCGCCTTTTCGGGCTCCAGGCATACAAGACGTCTGATACCCACAAGACGGTCAAAGATGCCCTCAATAAAGCCATCCGTCTATCCAGATAGCCAGCCAACCAACCGAGTTGTCAGCCTGGCAACTAATCAGAAAAGCAACTGATCAACCCCATCGACCCAGCCATGCAAGCAATCAGAAGGGTGCCCGGCGGCAAAAAACGAAGCCCTTACGATTTTGTGGATCAGTGCGGGTATTGGTAGGAATGGGTCTTAGTTAATTGTGTGTGCGTCTGCCTGTGAGCGCTTGCGTGGGCTTGACTGTGAACGGATCCGAGCATGGGCATGAGTGAAGGGATCCTGGGGGGTCCTGGGGCTTCCTAGGGGGTTTCTGAGGCCTTTAGGGGGGTCCCGGGGCCCCCCTGGGCTTCCTGGAGCCGGCAGCCTCCTGGAGTGTTCTCAAGCCTCCCAGGGCTTCCGGGAGCCTCCCGATGCAACTCTCCTGGTCGACCCTCCATGGCATGGTGTGATGTTCATGGGACTCTGAAAAGAATATCGTCTACCCCCCAAGAGCGGCAACTGTATTTTTCTGCTCCGGAACAGAAACTCCGTTTGTAGCGTGGCATTGTCACGAGTAATCATGCACGGCAAGCGTGATCCGCGGCCATGACCCCTGGCACGCTGAGGCATGGTAGAACGCCAAGCGCTGCCTGGCAGGGTATCTGTAGTCTTCTGAAGCACTTCCTTTCATCACGCCCAGTTGCGTGCATCGCCACCCCCCCCCTCCGGAGGCTCCGTAGGCCGCCCAGACGCCTCCCTTGGCGCTCACCAAAGCTTTCCGAGGCTTCCACGGCAGCGGGGGAAACCCGAAGCCGCCAACATGACCCAACAGTGTCTCGAGAGGCCCCCAACAGCTGCCAAAAAGCGCTGCATGCACCTGAGTAAGCAACCAAGATGCTCCCAGACACCACCGAGGCGCTCTCGAGAAGGGGGGGCAAACACACAGAGGCACACATGCACACATATTTGTGTATATATTTATATGTATGAACATGGGTGTATTCTTTTATACGCACGCGTATGTATATACATGTGTGTGCGTGTGTCTGAATGTGTGTGAATGCATGTGCATGTGAATGAAGGTGTGTAGGTGAGAATGTGAGTGTCAATGCGAATGTGTGCGCGTGTGTGTGAAGGTTTTTAAATGTGCGTGGGTATGTGTAAATGTGTGTGCATGTGTGTGAATGTGCATATGTGAGTGTGAATGTGAGTGTACGCGCGGGTGTGAATATATGTGGATGTGTGTGATTGTGTGTGAATGTGTATGCATGCGTGTGCATCTGTGTGCGTGTGAGTATGAGTGTGAGTGTGATTGTAGGGGTGTGAGTGTGAGTGTGAGTGTGAATGCGTGTGTGAGTTTGAGTGTGAGCGTGTGTGTGTGTGAATGTGAGTGTGAGCATGTGAGTGTGTATGAATGTGTGCGCCTGTGTTTGAATGTGTTTATGTGCTTTAATGTGTGTACATGTGCGTGGGTGTGAGTGTGAGTGCGTGTGTGAGAGGTTGTGTTTGTGTGAACGTGTGTGTGAGTGTGTGAGTGTGTATGCGTGCATCTATGTGTAAGTGTGTGTGTGAATGTGTGTGCATGTATGTAAATGTGTGTTTGTGAGTGTGAGTGTGAGTGGAAGTGTGCGTGTGTGAGAGTGTGTGAATGTGTGTGCATGTGTGAATGAGTGTGTGAGTGTGAATGTGAGTGTGAGTGTGTGTGTGGGCGTAAGTGTTAGTGCGTGTGTGTGTGTGAACGTGTGTGTGAATGTGCGTGAATGAATGTGCACGAGTGTGAATGTGTGTGTGAATGTGAGTGTGAGTGTAAGTGTGTGCGAAAGTGTGTGTGAGTGTGTGTGTGAATGTGCGCGCATGTGTGTGAATGCGTGTGCGCGAGTCTGAGTGTGAGTGCGTGTTAGTGTGCGTGTGTGTGAAAAGTTTTAATGGATAAGCATGTGTGTGAATGCGTGTGAGTGTGAGTGTGACTGTGTGCGCGTGTGCGTGTGCAAGTCTAAATGTGAGTGTGAGTGCGTGTGTGTGTGAGTGTGGGAGTGAGTGTGTGTGGATGCGTGTGCATGTGTAAATGTGTTTTAATGTGTGCATGTGTGGATGTGTGTGGGTGGAAGTGTGACTGTGAGTGCGTGTGTGACAGAGTGTGTGTGTGCGTGTGTGACGGTGTGTGAATGTGTGTGTGTGAACGTATGCGAACGTGTGTGCATGCGTGTGAACGTGCGTGTGGTAATGTGAGTGTGAGCCTGAGTGTGTGCGTGTGGGTGAGAGTGTGAGTGTGAGTGTGTGTGTGCGTGTGAGTGTATGCGTGTGAGTGTTTGTATGTGTGCGTGCGTGTGTGTGTGTGTGCCGCTGTCCGCGATCTTCGGTCGGAGATCGGTCCACCTGCTGTCTGCGGAGAACCCAAAGTGCCCACTGAGAGCCACAAGAGGGCCCCGAGGCATCCCTGGACGGCCCCAAGAAAGCCCCAGCCGGCTCAACAGGGCCTCCAAAGGAACCCCAAAAAGCCAACAAGGGCCCCTAGACCGCCCGGCCTAGAGACACCCTAGACCGCCAAGAGGGCCCCAAGAAGGACACAAGACGGATCATAAGGGCGTCAAGGAACCCGCAAGAATGCCAAGAAAGCCCCAAGATGGTCGAAATAAGACCCATTGGAGCTCATCAAGAAATCGACACGAGAGGTGTCACGTATGACGGCCGTCCTAACAATGAGATCAGGGCTGCCACGCAGAATGCTTCGCTGGCACGCTGGCGGATTTGCCGCAAGCAACTGGATATTATCAAAAATATGCCACTGCAGCCGAAGACACGGAAGGACCCTTGCCGCTCACTCCCAGATCAGCGTCCACAAGACTCACATGATGGGTACAACCTGGTGGAGGAATCATAACGTCGTTGTGGTCGTCCTCTCCCAGCAGGCCTCCGACTGCAAAACCTGCCCGTCCCAAATGCTTCACGTAAACGTTCAAGTAGCTGATGCCACTTTGCGTGTGTCATTGAACGACCTTCAGCTCAACCTTCCCAAAAGCAACCCATTCTGGAGTCTCGACTGCACGTGTCGACACGGCGTGACGATACCCTCCAGCTCGCCTTGCCCCTGCGAAAGACCCCGTAACATTGACACCGACGAAGTACATGTCTGCGCAAGAGCTACCCATTCGGCGCGCATCAGCCTGCACTCGAAGCAATGCCTCTTCAGGGCGCACTCCTCTAGGGACGTTAATCAGCACATGCTTGCCTGGCTGCATTAAATCGAACCGCTCACCGTGAACGTTCTGCAGGTGGGGGTCCCCAGTGGCAGCCGCACCGCCGGCTCCGCCCGCCATGGCAGCCCCTGGAGGAAACGTCGGATGCGGCGTCGGCCAACCGACAGGATACGTTGGGCTAGGCGTCGGGCTCGGCGTCGGGTAGGGCGTTGGGAAAGCCGTCCGGTAGGGCGTCGGGAAGGGCGTCGGGAAGGGCGTCGGGTAGGGCGTCGGGAAGGCCGTCGGGGAGGGCGTCGGGGAGGCCGTCGGAGAGGGCGTTTTGGGGAAGCCGCGGTAGTAGCCGATCCTGCGAGCAGCCATGCTTGGTGTTGGAAGAGCTGCACGCCAGACGACCCAGCGCCGTGTATGAAGTATTCCCCGAAAGGGGCATTGACATTGTTGGGCCAATTCTGCGTCTTCAGCCCGATCCCAATAGGAGAGTCGGCGTCGCTGCCATCATATGGCTGGCAGCTCTGGTCAGGGACGTTCACGCAGTACCCGATGCGGGCCCAGTTGTTGTCATTGCACTGGGTGTTGATCCCTGGCCGCTGCATATTGCAATTGCCGCCTCCGTTCCCGTTCCAATAGTCGTCGTACCAGGTCGGGGTCCCCGGCGGCAAAAACAGATCTGTCCAGGCCTGCTTCGCTGCGTCGGCGGCTCCAGCGCCATAACCCAGATTTTCGCTGCGGATGAATCCCGAGCTGAAGAGAGTTTTTGCGCTGGTGTACGTCGCGCCAAGCTCGTACGTGTAGCAGTTGTCCAGCGTTTTGTAGCACAACGTCAGTGCGGAGATCGGGTCTGTGTTGAATGCCGACATCTTGACGTCCTCGTCGTCAGAGTCACTGACCGAAGCGCCGCCAGCTTCGTTCAACACAGAGGTGTCGGTCCAATAGCTTGCGTCATACTGGAAGGTATTGGAGCCCGCCCTCAGCTTCATCAGCAGCGTCGGCGCCGCACTTGGCGTCTGCGATCCAGTTGCTGTGAAAGTATGAATTTGGTAGCCATTGCTCGTGGTGACTGTGCCACCTTGGAGCAACGGGGTGGAACTCAGGTACTTGATGATCACGATGCCAGACCCTCCATTGCCAGCCAAGGAAGACTCAGGATCCGTGCCGCCGCCACCACCGCCAGTGTTTGCCTGCCCATCTTCGCCATTGAAGTAAGCGCCGCCACCACCGCCGTAACTACTTCCATCGCCGCCGCCCCCTAGGCCGCCGGCCCCTCCTGGATAAGTGGTGCAACCGCAGTTTGCGTTGACGCCACCGCCACCGCCTCCGCCGTAATACGTAGAAATGCCTGAAATCGACGACGCCACTCCAACGCCACCATCTCCTCCGTAGTGCTGTTGGGGCGCGTCGCTCCCAACGCCGCCCGCACCGCCGCCGCCACCGCCTGCGCCGTACCCCCCCACTGTCGCTGCGCCCACCCCGGTAGCCCTGTCCCGCGACCCCAGCCGCGTAGGCAACACTCGGCAGATCGTAGGCGCCTCCACCGCCTGAGCCCCCGCTGGAGGCAGTCCTGGAACTGCCCCCCGCACCCTTGCCACCGCCATATGCCACCAGAGAGCCGATCGAAGAATCTCCTCCGTTCGTCGCCTCCGCAGTGGTGCCGCTGCCCCCCGAACCTCCGAGACCGCCTGCGCCAACCGTGATGACTTCGTCGACAAACATGACCAGACCCGACCCTTGGAGCACACCGCCGCCGCCGCCGCCTCCGGAAGCGCCGCCACCGCCGCCGCCGACAATCGGGTATTCCACTGTCAGGGTCGACTGCGCCGCCTGCTTCTCCCAGGTGGCAGCTGCGTCAGTGGCGGTCGCCGCGCGAGGCTCGGCCCTGTCGAGGTGCAAGGCTCCTGCGCAGCCTAGCAAGATGAACAGCGCCGATATGTCCGACGGCTTCATGGCACCGAGGAGGGTGCTGTGAGATGCTGAAGCACGAATGTGAAGGTGTGTTAAGGCGCAAACGCCATGCCTGCCACATCGCAATGATCACTGGGCAAAAAGAGCGGCTCTGCGAGTCTGCGAGAGAGTGACTTGTGGTGCGTGGTTTCAAGGGGGCGCGGGCGTATCACCCAAGAATGCCGCAAAAGAACACCCCAGAATGCCACCAGAATGGCTGAAGTCACGGATCCCCCTTCCGCTCTTGAGTGTAACATATAATATAAAATATGCAAATCTGCAAAAATGTAAAACATAAAAGCTTGATACATGATATGTACTGTGTGGCTCACTCGCCTTTTCGGGCTCCAGGCATACAAGACGTCTGATACCCACAAGAAGGTCAAAAATGCCCTCAATAAAGCCATCCGTCTATCCAGACAACCAGCCAACCAACCGAGTTGTCAGCCTGGCAACTAATCAGAAAAGCAACTGATCAACCCCATCGACCCAGCCATGCAAGCAATTAGAAGGATGCCCGGCGGCAGAAAACGAAGCCCTTACGATGTTGTGAATCAGTGCGGGTACTGGTAGGAATGGGTCTTAGTTAATTGTGCGTGCGTCTGCCTGTGAGCGCTAGCTTGGGTATGGAAGGGTCTGAACTGACCGAGTCTAAGTGTGAGTGGGCTTGACTGTGAACGGATCCGAGCATGGGCATGAGTGAAGGGATACTGGGGGGTCCTGGGGCTTCCTAGGGGGTTCTGAGGCCTTTAGGGGGGTCCTGGGGCCCCCCTGGGCTTCCTGGAGCCTGCAGCCTCCTGGAGTGTTCTCAAGCCTCCCGGGGCTTCCAGGAGCCTCCCGATGCAACTCTCATGGTCGACCCTCCATGGCATGGTGTGATGTTCATGGGACTTTGAAAAGAATATCGTCTACCCCCCAAGAGCGGCAACTGTATTTTTCTGCTCCGGAACAGAAACTCCGTTTGTAGCGTAGCATTGTCACGAGTAATCATGCACGGCAAGCGTGATCCGCGGCCATGACCCCTGGCACGCTGAGGCATGGTAGAACGCCAAGCGCTGCCTGGCAGGGTATCTGTAGTCTTCTGAAGCACTTCCTTTCATCACGCCCAGTTGCGTGCATCGCCACCCCCCCCCCTCCGGAGGCTCCGTAGGCCGCCCAGACGCCTCCCTTGGCGCTCACCAAAGCTTTCCGAGGCTTCCACGGCAGCGGGGGAAACCCGAAGCCGCCAACATGACCCAACAGTGTCTCGAGAGGCCCCCAACAGCTGCCAAAAAGCGCTGCATGCACCTGAGTAAGCCACCAAGACGCTCCCAGACACCCCCGAGGCGCTCTCGAGAAGGGGGGGCAAACACACAGAGGCACACATGCACACACACACATATATATATATATATATATATATATATATATGTGTATTGCACACAACATATAGCACGACATCGTCTGCACCACGCATATTGCATCACATACACTGCGACACATACATTCCACAACCTATATTGCAAGACACACTGTTTGGGGTCCACGCTGGCTAACATACATGTGTATATATATATATATATATATATATCTAAGCATACATATTTACGCTCATTATGTGGCACATTATATCGACCTGGTCACGACGCAGCCAACTCCGCAAAGTGCTCTCGCCTTCCCTTCCCCCGACTCCACTCCCCTCCCTACCCTCCTCTCCCTCTCCTCCTCCCCACCTACCCCCACCCGTCGCTCTCCTCCCTCCCTTCCACTGATCCTCCTCCCCTCCCTATCCGCTTCTTTCCTCCCTCCCTTCCCCCGCCACACCCCCCTGTAAGATGGCAAAGACGAGCATCCAAAGAGTCCAAAACAGTACAACCTTCCCCCAATACGTCAGAAGGCTGGCCCAGGACCACCCTTGGAGGTCCGCAAGAAGCTCCAAAAGTGTGCGCAGATCCACTGGGCGACCATCGACCTGTGCCCCCCGGTCCTCCGGGGCCCATTCGGGGCTCATTCTGGTGACAGCTATGGAGCCCGGTGGGGTCTCGCTTGGGGCCCTGTGGGATGGCGACGATCGTCTGGTGCAGCTTCAGAATTGACTGCCTACCAGACCACCTCAACCTAACCCGAAGACCCAACCTTCGGGTTGGGGGGGTACGGGTTCCACCTGTGTTTTTTTCAATGTTCCCCGACGCCCCCCACCCACTGGGAATGGAGGGCAAATTGGGGCCTTCGGGTTGGGTTTGGTTGGTTTGGTAGGCGGTGGAGGATCGTTCTGGGCCGTCTTGCAGCCATAATAAGCCCATTCGCGGGTCGAAGATGGGAAAAAAGAGGATCGACGACGGCGGTCCTTGCCGATCGTCGAGGGGCGTCCTAGCTGCCCCCCCCCCAGGAGAGCCTGCAATCGAATCGAGAAGTCGAATCGGCGATCGAAATGAATCGGATCGGAGGAGATCGGCAGCCACGTCGGGAGGAGTCGAATCGGCGGAAATCGGCAAAAGCAGCGGCCTCATCGAGACATCGGAATCCAAATCGGAACCCAAGGTCGAATCGAAGCGGAATCGTGATCTATCGAGATCGACTGGAATCGAATCGGTGGAATCGAAGCGAGCCCTGCCCCCCCCATCCTTTTCTTCCACGGCGCCCAGGTCCAAGTCGCCCAGGTCGAGGCCGATGTCCATCTCCTGGCGCCGCGAGAAGCGGAAGACGAGGAGGAGGAGGAGGAGGAGGAGCAGGAGCGGTGAGGGAGGGCGCGAAAAGTGCGGGCGCGACAACAGGAGGGCCTAAGGCAGCCTCGCCCTCTCTCCGCCCCTCCTCGCAGGGAGGGGAGGGTGCCCCGAGGGACGGGTGCGGTCAGGACGAAGGGATGCGACAAGTGGGCGCCTGAAGATTATGTGGCAACTCATGGGAACCTCTCATACCATCTTGTCGGCTCGTGCGAATCGACGTTACATCGACGCTATATCGACGCGAATCGACGTTGAATCGACGCTAATCGACGCTAACCGACGCTATGCCAGCGCGACCTCATCCGCTCCCAGACGCTGAACGACGCGTGCCGACGCTAAAGACAAAATTACGAGGGTACACAAGGAGGCTCCTATGATTTGCTGCCGAAGAAGCCTGAAGATGAATGCTGCATGGGATGGTACAGTTGAGGCCAATCCACAAGAAACCTTTCACAAGAAACCCAACCCTGAGACCCCAGGACGTCCATTGATTTTTGGTGTGGGAACGTCAAACCTTCCACAGCAAAACCATCGAACCCAAGAAACCCAGGGCACCCTGGAGGCAAGCAGGGTGTTTCTTGGCATGGGCCTCCACTGTATGTCTCGAAACGAAAACGAAGAGAAGCACACTCGCCTCCCGTCCTGGAGCGGCGGAAGAGCACGAGGGGGGGGAGGGGGGGGAAAAGAGGGAGGAGAGTGCAGCGAGCAGTGTTCACCTGCTAGCAAAGAGTTGAGCAGAGAATTCATGGTCATAAAAACCATCGGTTGTCTGAACAAACAGAAATCGTCATAGCAAGAAAACTACCGCCCCGGAAAAAACGTCATGCAAGAACATGAGATGTTCCATAACAGCTTGTCTGGCCTCATGGGGCCCCTAGCTGCACAGAGGCCAAAGGCAAAAGCAGACAAGTCACGGTGACGAGATTACCAAATGCACACGCGCACACACACACACACACACTCAATAGAAAAGGTCGGGAACTGGCATCTAGGGTGCACAGCACGAGATCGGGAATCGACCCCACCGATTCCTCAGCGTGCTTCTCAATGTCATGTTCCTCGTATTCCCCTTGCGCCACTGATCCCACCCTCGATCTCGCCGACCTGCTCCGCTCATACTCTACATGCCCATTCCACTGTTGCTGAACACGAGAACTTGGGCACAATAGAACGCGGCAACGATGGCAACAGGCAACGGCATCCTGGTTCCACGCACTGGAATCCATCTGCGTAGCATCTGCAGGCACCGGTGTTTGGGAGCGCGCGGCAACCACCCGAGAAGTCCTCCTCCGCGTCTCCCCGGCCCTTCCTCATCCTCCATTCCTCTACCTCCGCCTCCACCTCCTCCTCCTCCTCCTCATCCTCCTCCTCGTCCTCCTCATCCTCATCCTCATCCTCTTCCTCCTCGTTTTCCTCCTCATCATCACCACCAGCATCATCACCATCATCATCATCATCATCATCAGCAGCAGCATCATCATCATCATCATCACCACCACCACCACCACCATCATAATCATCATCATCATCAATGCATCATCATCGTCAGTATCATCATCACCATCAGCATCATCACCATCACCATCATCATCACCAGCATCATCACTACCATCATCACCATCATCAGCATCAGCATCAGCATCATCAGCATCATCATCGTCATCAGCAGCAGCATCATCAGCATCATCAGCATCAGCATCAGCATCGTCAGCAGCACCATTATCATAGTCGCCATCAGCATCAGCATCATCGTTTTCCGTATCGATTGTATTAGCATCAGCATCAACATCCTCATTATGATTACCATCGTCATCAACAGTATCGCCATCGTCATCATATGCATCAGTATTCAACATCAGCAGCATCATCAGCAGCATTATCGTCATCAGCAGCAGCAGCATGATCAACAGCACCATCGTCAGCAGCAGCATTTTCATCACGTCATCATCATCGTCGCCGTCACCATCATCAGCAGCAGCATCATCATCATCAGCAGCGGCACCATCATCATCAGCAGCAGCATCATCATCATCATCATCATCATCATCATCATCATTCCTCGTCGCCCTCCCCTCATCCCACTTACGGTTCACCGTTCCCCTGCTCCACTCCTGATTCCCCTCCTCGTCATCCTCTTCCCCCCTCCTCCTCGTCGTGTCACTCACGCCTCTCTCCCTCCCTCCTTTCATCCTCGGCATCGCCCTCCTGCGCTACAGCATGAGGCGCAACCGAAGCTCACTTCGCACGTCTTAGAGGAGCCCTCTGCCGAGACGAACGTCCCCTGACCCAGGAGCAGCTCCGCCCAGCCCGAACCTGGCCCGCCCTCGCGGCTGCCACGGTGGGTCGCCCGGGGAGGAAGCTCCTCCCTGCCAGGAGGAGGAGGAGGGGGAGGAGACACGGCCGACCAGTCGTGCAACTGAAGGACAGGAGCACGGGCCATACCCATACA